AAATGGAGGTTTCGATTATGTTAATGAAATATAAAAGCATTATATATGTTTTGAAACATGAGAACATTGTATATGTTGAATATCTTTTGAAAACACAAGCTTAATACGAACATTGTATATGTTGTTTAAGTTTTGGAAATGAGAATTTATCATAAACATTGAATATGTTTTAGAAATATGGAATATATATTGAAATCGGCTAAAACTACGGAAATGTATGTTGAGATGTATATTGAGACTTGTTCATTATATGATGAGATTGAATGACCGGTGGATAGGTCCTGGTATTGAAAATTGAATTGTAATCATTGTGGAAATTTGTTTAAAACATGGTTTTAAAATGTGATTTGTAATTTTGGGGACGAAAGTCTTTAAGGGGGGAGGTTATAGCAATCTCGATTTTGACTCGACTCTTGCGGTATCTCGAACTCGAGTTTAATGTTTTCATTTTGTTATTTATCTCTTGCTTCCCTTGTGTCTCTTTAAAATTTGCTTTTGGGTTGTTATGGTTGCGTTTAGGCAGGTTGGTCGCTTGTTTTTCAAACCTTGTGTTGCCCAAAATTTTGGTCCTCCGTTCGAGCGGCACTTCGTACGCTCAAGCAGGCTTTGTAAACTTTCAGAACTTTTGCTGGTCTGGAAAACTACTGGGAGAGTGATTTCTAGGCTTGAGCGATGTTTCTTATGCTTGAGTGGGTGGGCGCTCGAGCGGCCTTTTTTTGCGCTCAAGCGTTGGTCTGTTGTCTGCAAAACTTACGCTTGAGCATCACTTCTTGCGCTCGAGCGGCAAGCGTCTTGTTCATTGTGTCTTGGCGCTCGAGTGGCCTTTCTTGCACTTGAGCGAAACAACTTATTGTGTCTGATGCTTGAGCGTCAACTCTTACGCTCGAGCGGACTGTACGTATATCAGATTGCGAAAATGACTTTTTACATCACTTTTTCAGATCTTTTCCCCCTAAAACCTAAAGTTAGGACCTTCTCTCTCTAAAATACAATCTCTCTACATTTTCACCTAGTTCTAGTGATTTCTTCACCCTAATCCCTTTGATAAGAAGGTAGACCATCTCAAGATCTCCATTTTGATCCAATTAGAGTTGGATTTGGGCATCCTTGAAGTTTCACTCTTGCTTGGTTCGTTTTCTCTCTTTGAGGTAGGGAATTTTCTACACTTTCATATGGTTTTTAGCTTGATTATTTGTTGTTGTGTAACCATGGTAGGATTTGGGAGTGTTTGAACAAACCTAGGGTTTGGGTTTGAAATAAAATAAGAGGTTTTTGGTGGATGTGAAATAAGTGGGTATGGAGTTTGAATATGAGGTTATATTGTGTTTAAATAGTTAATTTTGACACTTGGGTTGATATATGGACAAGTGGAGTTTTTCCCTAAATGGGTCAAATTGTTATTTTGTACAAATAACTAAAATTGATAATAGTAATGTGCAATTGGATGATTATTGATGTAAATGGTGGAGTTAGACACGTGTTGTCTCTCACCTATGGAAATTTGAATAATTTATCTATTGAGAAGATTGTATATCTGTTTAGAAATATCTGTATTGGGCTATCAGTGGAGAATAACAATAATTGTTGTAGAAAATGCATGAAGATTAGGTAAATCAAAACTAATCTAATGTTGGTTGTCATTAAATATGACTATATTTTTAAATACATTGTATATGTATAATGTTTGGGAGGAGAAAGAGAATGTATTCCATTGTTTGGGAGGAGATAGGGGATGGACTTCATTGAAATTAAGTTGGCCAGAGTGTCCAAGGTGAAAGTCCCGAAATCGTATGTATATATAATTGCCGATCCCGCGGACGAAATTTTCATAAAATGGCAAATTTGAAGTGTTTGTGTGGTAGTGTATTGAATTGGAAAAATCACTAAGTTGTAGTCTCAGTTGAGTTGTTGAAAGATAATGAAATTGACTCATGAATTGAGAAGAATAAATGAACTTGAAATGAATTGAAGGAGACTGAATTGAAATATAAACTTTGGTGCTTTACGGTTATATAAAATGTGGATATTTTGTCACCAGCATTGCATATGCACATTGTACTTATATCTTTGTTAAATTTCATATACTTTGTTAGATTGTTTCTACTGGGCTTTGGCTCACCCTATTTGGCAAAACCATTTTCAGGTGTTGGTGACATGCCTTTGCCAAGGCAATAGCTTGGAAGGACTTTTGAGAGCAAGAGCTTCTTTATTTTGTTATATTCTTTTGTATAGCCAAGGACTTAAATTGTATTAAGCTAGGCTCACTTTGTGTAACCAAGCAATGACTTGAAAAAATGTAAACCTATAGGGCAGATGACTATATGTTTAGTTTTAATTCTCCTAACATTACAACACATGCTGTAGATTCAGGATGAACATTTATGAATGTATATCGCATGTGTTAACTTTTGTAAATGAGCTCTGATAAATGAAAGCATATTATTTCTATTATCCCTTATTTTAAGGATTGGATTTACTGTAATATTTTGGGGGCGTTACACTTATCTTAGGCTCATAGTTTTATTCATGGTTTTGAAAACCAGACCGGACTAGCCGGTTCGACCAGTTGAATCGTCGACTAATCGGGGTTCTGGTCCGGATGTACCCCCTAAACCGTTCCAACCTAAAAACTGGCCTATTTAGAGAGAATCAGAAAAATCAGTGGTTGGACCGTCGAACCGAGTGACCCGGGGACAAGTCAAGCGAACCGGTTGGGTTAAAGAAATTAAAAATTTTGAATTTTTTAAAAATATTTTCTAATTATTTTTTTATTCTTTCTTTCTTTCTTATTATATATATATATAATATAAAATTTTTTTAATTATAAACTCTTTTTCAAGAGTCTCCTTTTGTAAGGAATCTCATTGAGAATTTGAAATTATTGTGAAAGTTTCTACCTATTTATAAGAAAAAAATTCTTCCAAAAAAACTCAAAAAATGTATGTGGGATTCAATCAAATTTATTGGAGGGAGACTTGAAATTTTGATAGCCCTCTAAAATTTTTGCTCTTCTTTCAATTAAATTATTTAAATTAAAATCATATGGAGGGAATATTAAACATTTGGTTTTCTCCTCCAAAATTAAAATTAATAATATTTTAAAATATATTTGTGACAACTATGTTTCGTATTATACTATTAAGTCGTAATTATGCTTGTGATTATATGCTTTATGTGATTTTGGATGCTAATCATTTGATTTTGTATGTTTTTTAATTCATATCTATTCATTATAGGAAAATCTGTTATGTCTTTGGTAATAAACTGAAATTGAGGGCCGTAGAGGTAACAAAAATCAAAATTGACTGTACCATTGCGATTAGCATAATTTTTAGAGCCTACTGTGAACTTTGATTAAAATTTGATTCAGACTAAATTAATTGGATTAAATCAATTAGAAATAAGTGAGATTAGTAAATCTTAAGCTTCCTTAATTAGCCTGAGTTAATTACAAGTATATATATGTGTTGAGATGTAATTAAACTCATTTTGGGCTCAAAAATATGCTGGGAAAGAGAACTTTAGAGAGAGAAAAATTGATTTTAGAGAGAGAAAATACTTGTAAGCTTGGAATTGCTTGCAAGATTGAAGGATTGTGAAGAACAACTCAAGTTCTTGCTAGGAGAGGTTACCAAAATTTTGGAGTCAACCAAATTGCCTCACGCATAAGGCTTTTGTTTTGATTTTCTTTTATTTACTTTTGATGGTTATGTAAGACCAGGTTTGTATATAAACCTTTGTTTTTGGTTTGCAAGTTTCTGAATGGTCCTAGACACGTATAATCTTTTTATGTTCTGTTGGATGTTAGTTATTATATAAGTGAAAAGTTTAATGTACAAGCTCATTGGACAATTTTTGTGTTTTTGCTTCCGTCTTTGGCTCCGTATATGTGAATATTAATTTGATTTCTGTTTGAGTCCGTTAGTAATCTCATGATTACTGGCTGATTATGATCCTATGATCCTAACCTATAGATATTATTATATTTTTTAGTCAAAAAATATTATTATATTTTTAGGAAAAATATTTAAGATAATTTAATATTTTCAAATTTTATTACTTATATTTTTATTTAAATATAATTTTAATATATTTATGACGTCACAATTCGATTCCAGTCTAACTCGACTGTTGAATCAGTGGCTTTTCTACCTGATCATTTTTTCAATTCATTCACCGGTTCAATTTTTAAAACATTGGTTTTATCTATCATAGTTGTAACTTAGTTTAGCTTCTTAGCTTAATTAGATTAGTCAATTATATTTCATTTGTCAATCAATGAAAGTTCAATTTTAATTTAGCTTATTTTTAGCACCTAACAAATTTAGTTAAAGTCCTCTTCATAAGGCAAGATTTGAATCAGTGACAGTTCCTCTTACTAACACATAGTCATTTCTCTGTGTTAGAAGTAAAAAATAATCAAACATTCCTACATCTTGAATTAGGTTCATATGTTCTGGTATGCTCGTATTCAATTCAATCAACAGGCTTATGTGTTTGCACTTGTAGGACTTTCTGAGTGGCAAGTGAGAATTTCTGAGAACAACCATTTTTCTTTAATAATAACTCAAAAAATATAGAGTTGTACAAATTTTTATTTTATTTTATTTTTTATAGTTATAAGGCACATATAACACTTAGGTCTCGTTTGACAAGTTAACATTTTAGTCAAAAAGTTACAAAAAAGTCAAAAAGCCTATAACTTATACTATAAAGTCAAAGATTCTATTTTTTCTACTTTTTGCATATCTTTTTGTAAAAAATTAAAAAGTCACCCCAAACAGACTAATTTTTTAAACTTATATTTTAATTAAAAAACTAAAAAATTACTAAAATAGTTTATTCCCAAACGAAACCAGTTTTTCCTAAAGTAAAATTATGTGGCCTTTTATGTAATTTCAAGAACTGTAAAATAATAGGTGGAAGGTGGGCGTATAGAGCAATTACAGGTGCATATAGAAGCACTCCAATTAACTAATGGCAACTTGGGGATTAGTTCTCTCTTCCCAAATCCCAAATCGGTGCAAAAATCAGGAGCGCGACCCACCCCAGAGGAAAAAGTGGTTTAGGGTGGGGAAGAGGAAAGAGGAGAGGCGAGGACAGGAAAGGGGAGGGTGGCTTCTCATTAACCCTCTCTCAGAAAGAAGAGATTCAGAGATAGACCTCTCTCTCTCTCTCTCTCTCTCTCTGTGTTTGCAGTAGTATTAGCAGGTGAAAAGAGGCCTGGGGTTGTGGATTTGCTTCAAAGCCGTCTCCTTTTTTGCATTTCGAGCTTGGTAAATTCTTTCATCTCTCCCAAGTCCTCTCATTTTCCATCATATGATGATCGAGTCTTGATTCTAATGCCTGTGTCTGATGTGTTTTTAGGGATTCACTGAGTAGGTTTATTGTTTATATGCATATCTATATGTATTTTTGGTTTCTATTTGTTATGTTAATTTGTTCTTGAGATTTTTTTTTTTTCCTTTCTTTTCTTTCAGTTCTGCAGGGTATTAAGGTTTTTCTGTTGAAAGCAACATGGCATCAAAGCGTATCCTGAAGGAACTGAAGGATTTGCAGAAGGATCCTCCGACTTCTTGCAGTGCAGGTACCATATCTAGCTCCATTTTTCTCTGTCTTATACATATGGTGTTTGCAGCAAAATAGATTCTGAAAATGATGGTGGAGAAAACCCATTTGTTTTTCCACTCAAGCAAAAAAGGCTTTGGGAATTGATTCATAAGATTCTAAACTATAGTTAGAAAATGATGAATAGCAGAAGTTACTGTATGATTTATGCTACTAAATTTTAATGATAGGCAGTTCCATTCAACTACATGGGCACATTTGTTCTTTTTCATCTTAAGTTAAAAACAAATGGAAATAAAATATTATGACTTTTGCTTTTTCACTTAATAACACACCCAAATCTTATTGCTTCTGTCCCCTTGCAATGCACCAAATTTGGGGATGTCCACCGGATAGTCACTTAATTTCCATGAAGCATTAGTAAACAAATGATACTCTTATATTCTATGAAGTAGTTAAATCAAGTTGCTTCATTCTGGTACTCTGTTTATATTTTCTTGGAAATTTGAATTGTGTGATTCATTTTTTTGCTTTTGGGGAGAAAGGGGGGTAGGGTTAAAGAGTGTCGCGTTGCTCTTGAAAGAGTCTGTGTCGGTGGTAGCTTAAAACAATTAATGTATTATTCTTTGAGGCACTGTCTGCAATGTCAAATTCTGACTTTAGCAGAGCCTATTCCAAGCCTGAGTCAAGGGGCATGGTTGTGGAATGAAAATGGGGCCAACATAAAACACATAACTTCATCTCTTGAATGTACTTCCTGGTGATAGATATTATTCCCATTTGATTCTCTTTCTGTTTGGTGATGTGATGGCAAGCCAAATTATAGAACTTCTAGCTTTTGTCCACACAAATTTTTCTGTCAAATTGTTGCCCCACCGTGTTATATGTTCCTTCTAAATGTGGAAATTAATATTCAATAATGATAATTGATAGTTATATTTTCTCCCTTTGCTCCTTCCCCGGTGGATTAAGTATGGCCTTTCTACTTCATGTATGTGATGATGGTTACATGGTCATTTCTCATTCATAATATATTGTTTATTAACTTTTGGATGCTTGTTTGTTTGTAACAGGCCCTGTAGCTGAAGACATGTTCCATTGGCAAGCAACTATAATGGGACCTCCTGATAGCCCATATGCTGGAGGTGTATTTTTGGTTACTATTCACTTCCCTCCTGATTATCCTTTTAAGCCCCCAAAGGTATCTTTTTTTGCATGTATATATACTTGTCAATGCCATATTTGGTGGTTTCTTTTCCAACCTTGCATGTTTTGATGTTTGACATTTTGTGGAGATCTAGTAGAGCAAGGCAAAGTATTTATGTAAAAAGTCATCTGGTTTGATATTTTTTGCTATGTCTTCTATGTGTTTTTGAAGGCCAAGAATCATTTGTCTTTCAAAAGCTAATAGTTACAGAATAGCAGTGATTTCATGCTTATTTGTCCATTTTTCAGGGTCTCAAAGGGGCGTGAAAATACTTAAGAAGCACGAATACGTGACACGACACGAATACGACACTGACACGCAGGCACAACAATTTTAAAAAAATGCAAGACACGACATGTATATATGAACATATCATTCTAAAATAATAAATATATACAATATGACACTAACTTCTATAAATTGACATTATTTTTCTTTGGTCATTTTATTCTAAGTTATTTTGTTCACACCTACAATTAGTTTCATGTGTGTCTAGTCAATGGACATGCATGTCCTCCAAGTGTCTAAAGAGTGTCCAAGTCTAAAATCTTTTTAAAAAAATTAGGACACGTTTGGATGAGTGTCGGACACGTGTCGGGAGAGTGTCCGATGAGTGTCGGTGTCGGACACGGACACGGACATGACACAGATACACCACATTTTTAGAAGTGTTCGTGCTTCTTAGAAAATACATAAGAATTCTTGAATGGAAATGGAAAAGAGATGTGATTCCAGTTTCTTCAGAAATGGTAAGATCTTTGCCGCAAGAAGAGGGGTTTGATCCGTATCATCTTGACGTGGTTTTGCGGATTTCATGCTTGCTTCTGGATGTTGGCTAGAATTTGATAAAACCATTTTTATGTTGGGATGGATCATTGATTTTATATCCAAGTGATGAAGGTGAGTGTGTGAAGCATGTGGTTGGTGGAATTTATGACGGGATTTAATTTTCTTGAGATGGTAGTGGTCATGTATTAGTATTGGGTGCAAAATATTTTATAAATGGGATATGATGATTTTCATGTTATAAAGCAGCATGGATTGTAGGTACTTGTTAACAGATTGTATTACCGTCTTTTGTGGGTCGAAGTATAGGGGATTTTATTATGTTTGTTGCAGTGTTATTAAAGACGATAGGTGCACTGAAGTGCTAAGATTTCCAAGGGCCTAGGTGCAAGTTTCATTGATGTGAGACTAGTGTGTGACGATAAAAAATAGATAATTTATAATATAAGCAAATAATTTAAAGGTTCTACATAAGCAAAATGAAATATTAAATATTTTAGAAAATAAATACTAACAAACACCAATATTTTATTATAGGCGAGGAAGCACGGATACGGATACGGATACGGGATACGGATATGATACGATACGGATACGGCGATACGACAAAATTTGAAAAACTAGGGGTAGATTGTGGATTACTGATATTACTTGCCTTTGAATCAGGTCTTGCTCTCTATTTGCTCGTTGCTGACTGATCCAAATCCCGATGATCCCCTTGTACCAGAGATTGCCCACATGTACAAGACTGACCGAGCCAAGTATGAGACCACTGCCCGCAGCTGGACACAGAAGTATGCCATGGGATGACAATCAAATATCCCTCTCAAATAGTCTGGGTTTCTTGAAACATGTATAAACCTGTTACTCCCAGTGAAGCAAAAAACCAGTTCGATTAGATGGATTGTTTGCTCTTTGCTCGGTGTCATTTTATTTTTGAGTACTAAAAAGTAGGGGGAATGGAAAGGATAAAGTAGGACTGTTTTGGTAACGTTTGTGTGTAACATGTTTCTTTGCCTGAAGCTTGAATCTTGTGTGGGGTAAAATTAGAATTACTCATGCTTGGAAGTTGTTTTTGATCTATTTTACTAGAATTAAATTATGGTAATGAACGGTGTTTATGCTTTGGAATGAACTCGTGATTATGTCTAGACTCCAGCTAAGATGAAAAAACTGCTCGCTGTTCTCTGTTAAACTTTTGCTGACCCGCCTTGTGTTGGGTTGTGGAGGCACTGCTCTAAAGCACTCTTGTTTTAGGAGATTGCTAAATTGACAACTTTAGGGATTATATCCAGAGTATATTCTCTCATAAAATGGGCCTATTTATCTACAGTTGCCCAAATAAAGAACAGGGATTGTATCTACAGTTCCCAACTGCTTTTGACCACCTTCTGGTTGATAGGCAACAAGCTTCGGTTATGGACCAGTCATTGCATATTCCTCTGGCTGCTTTTTGATGGCCCTTCGGTCACAATGTGACCTTCGACAACTCTCCCAATACCTTCTAGCGGCTGCCTCTCTGGCCACCCCCATTTTCGTCAACTTATCTAATATTTTTCTTTATTTTTGTTTTCAAAATGGGGGGGGGGGGTGTTGAACAATAATTTTATATGTTCAATAGAATCTTTTGTCTTGGACTATTGAAAGGTATAATCCACAGTTCAATGTGACTTCATGTTCTTTATTTTTTTACAAAACTCAGGGCATGGTTGAATAAATATGACCTTTTGTCAAACGTGCTGCTTTTAAATTTTCAAATGGCTACTCTACCTTCTCATTTTTAAACGGTAAATCTTTGCAATGTTTCTACTCAATAGCCAGTTCAAAAAGTATCTTTTCACATGGAATAGCAACTGTGGAATCTGGTATCCTTTCATGCCAAGCCATCTGCCTTCATTGTATGATTACTTTTCCATGTAAGGAGCTTCTTCTTCTTTTTTTTAGTTCCCCCCCACCCCATCTCTGAATCATACATACAGACAAATAAGAAAAAAAAATCCTGTTTTTTGTTTCTATGCTATCAATTATTATTTTCCCTTTTCAAATAAATATCTATATGCTTCATTGAATGGATAGTACATTTACTTTGCCCTTGTCACCACAACTAGGTTCCTGTGAACGTTAAAGTAGAAGGAAGTATATGTTAGCAATAGGAGTGAAAGTGTTTTAAAGACTGAAAAAAAGATATCAGTTTGGAAGCTGGATTTTTTTTGGCTTTCTAAGCTAAAAAAGCCCAAAAAAGTCAATTATGTTTGGTTGACCAATAAGCCAGCTTTTTGAGTTTTCTGGGATTTTCACCTCGATTGTCACAGAAGTTTATTTTAATGGGTTTTCTGGATATCAAAATGAGACACTAACAAATTTTACTTATGTGAGTAGGTTTAAGATATAGTCATTTTCTCAATGGAAAGCCAAAAGGCCAATTGTGTTAGCAACTGTGTTGGGTTTTTTAACTTTGGTATTTCTCAATTTTTTGAATTTTTTTTATGAGCCAAAAAGCTGGCTTCTTAAGACGGCGCCAAACATTAGGTAACGTGTGAGACATCATCCTTCTTGTGTATGTATGTTCATTACATGTGATACAACATTCTTTGAGTTAATTTTCTTTTTCCACTAATGGTATTGGCAGTCCATTTTATGCGAATAAAGAATAAAGTATGAAAAAGCAATCATGCATGTTTTTGCTAAGGTGGAGTATTAAATATGAGGCATCAGTTGTAACCGGCGAAGCAAAATGATTCTATTGAACTTGCAAAATATGTTATTTTGGAGTGTTTGTTCAATATCTATTTGTTTAAGAAGGTTAACCATATTTTTCTCCAGGTTGCATTTAAGACTAAGGTCTTCCACCCGAACATCAATAGCAATGGAAGCATCTGTCTGGATATTCTTAAAGAGCAGTGGAGCCCTGCACTTACCATCTCTAAGGTTTGAATTTTTCTTCTCCCATATGTTGATCTCCAAGAATATATTTAAATACATGGTTTCCATATCAGAATCAGCGTAATTCTTATATCCATTTGCTTGTTACCAGTCTTAGGATCACTAAGTATCTGCAGTACTGGCAAATAGCTCATATTGTGCAGAAAAAATTCAGATACAAGAAATATCACAATGCTACTCTCTCTCTCTCTCTCTCTCTCTGTACTTCGGGTAGATTGTGGATTACTGATATTACTTGCCTTTGAATCAGGTCTTGCTCTCTATTTGCTCGTTGCTGACTGATCCAAATCCCGATGATCCCCTTGTACCAGAGATTGCCCACATGTACAAGACTGACCGAGCCAAGTATGAGACCACTGCCCGCAGCTGGACACAGAAGTATGCCATGGGATGACAATCAAATATCCCTCTCAAATAGTCTGGGTTTCTTGAAACATGTATAAACCTGTTACTCCCAGTGAAGCAAAAAACCAGTTCGATTAGATGGATTGTTTGCTCTTTGCTCGGTGTCATTTTATTTTTGAGTACTAAAAAGTAGGGGGAATGGAAAGGATAAAGTAGGACTGTTTTGGTAACGTTTGTGTGTAACATGTTTCTTTGCCTGAAGCTTGAATCTTGTGTGGGGTAAAATTAGAATTACTCATGCTTGGAAGTTGTTTTTGATCTATTTTACTAGAATTAAATTATGGTAATGAACGGTGTTTATGCTTTGGAATGAACTCGTGATTATGTCTAGACTCCAGCTAAGATGAAAAAACTGCTCGCTGTTCTCTGTTAAACTTTTGCTGACCCGCCTTGTGTTGGGTTGTGGAGGCACTGCTCTAAAGCACTCTTGTTTTAGGAGATTGCTAAATTGACAACTTTAGGGATTATATCCAGAGTATATTCTCTCATAAAATGGGCCTATTTATCTACAGTTGCCCAAATAAAGAACAGGGATTGTATCTACAGTTCCCAACTGCTTTTGACCACCTTCTGGTTGATAGGCAACAAGCTTCGGTTATGGACCAGTCATTGCATATTCCTCTGGCTGCTTTTTGATGGCCCTTCGGTCACAATGTGACCTTCGACAACTCTCCCAATACCTTCTAGCGGCTGCCTCTCTGGCCACCCCCATTTTCGTCAACTTATCTAATATTTTTCTTTATTTTTGTTTTCAAAATATTTTATGTATCAAATCAGATTTTTTTTGACCAAATAAAAATAAAAATTGAGAACTTTGTTTTTTGCTTTCTGTAAACAGCGAGCATGAAATTGACAAAATTATCAAATGACACAAGAATTTGTGTTTTGTTTTTAAATTTTAAAATTTTAGTGATGTAGCAGAAACTTGCTCCCTAAATGATACATTAGGCGTGAGAGGCTATAAAATGAATTAAATTCCATTGTTAGGAAACTTTTTGTTAAGGAAGAAGAAACCAAAAGAGTTAAAAAATTACTGTGTAATGAGAGTATATATATATTGCCTTGGAACAGTCCCACCACCAAACCATATATATCAGCAGTGTCTTTGGGTTTTCAACAGAAAGAAAGATGAGAATTATTTAAGAACTCGCTTGGTAGAGAGAGGAGTCGCGGCAACAGCTAGCGATTAGTATCAGTAGACCACTTCTGTTTTGTTGGGTTGGACATCATAGCAAGCCCATAGCAGCCGTATGTCCCTTGAGTTGTTTGAGCATCACTTAGGCACGTCTTCCTGAATTCACGTAAAGCAAGCATCTCATCAAGTTTCTTCTGAAGTTTGTCAACCTCTTCATTTATTTGGGAAAGGTTAGGGTCGTGTAGAAAATTAGCTTGGAGACCAAAGTAAGCATGCACCAGTCTCACCAAATGAACAAAGGCAAAATTCAGTTCGAAGCCAGCATATTGACCAAGCATGGAGTGAAACCAAGTCCAAAGTAGATTTGCAGTCAGATCCTTGACCTTAGTGCTGCACATGTTGTGTATGGCAATACATACTATCATCATGTTTAACATGACTGCCTTTCGACCCATCCTGGGCTTGTCAACACTGAACTTAAAATTATTGGTAAGCAAGGCATATAGGATGGGCGCCCAGTTCTCCAAGATGGTGTAGTCACCAACCTTGACAACCTTTGATGTGGAATCCCAATTTTCCCAAGGCATCATGACTTGGTTTTCAGATTCAACAAATGTTTTCATGGCCTGTATTGTGGAGGTCTCATCAAAATGTTGGTAGACTTGTCCCCAATTTTCCCATGGCATCGCGACTTGATTTTCAAAAACGTCAAGCATTCTCATGGCCTGTACTATGGAAGTTCTGTATAAATATTGGTAGACTTGTCCCGAAGCAATGTCTAGCCTACAGGCTTCAAAAACAACTTGCACTTCTTTTTTCTCCTTTTCTTTGAAGGAATCTAAAATTTTTTTCAATGTAAGTGGCTCTTGGTAAAAAGCATATATGAAACCCAAAGTCAAGAAGCTATAGCACAATGTCACGTCCCACCGAATTACCAAGACAAAATTACCTACCAAAAGAAAGTCTCAAGGAAGGGAGGCTAATGGAATATTCTGATAGCTCCTGGAAGATTTGAGGAAATATGAAGACCATGCAGGATACTGGAAGCTTCTAGAACTCCTTAGAGTTTTATAGAGAATTGTACATACTTGTAGATATTTGTAGACCCTTCTAGACATGTACATTCTAGAGTAATTCTAGAATAGTCTATACGATGTAGTACGAGGAAGGATCTAGAATACTCTCCATCATTGTAGATCTAGAACATTCCTTGTAGCCCATAAAAGGGGGAGGGCCTCATTTGCCCAAACCACCCAAGTGCATCCAAGAATTGTAAAACTTTCTCTCAAGAGTAAATACAAGGCATTACTCTCTTGTGTTCTTCTAACTTCTCTTTCCTACAAGTTTGTGAGTTAGGCTAACTTAACATCACCAAGTAAGACTTGAGATTGTCTAAGTGCTGCACAGATAGCTTGGAAACAACTAAGGCTGTGACACGTGATATCAGAGCAGGTTCGAGACAAAGGAAGAGAAGGTAACAATGTCATTCGGTGTAGAAGAGACCGTGACAGAGCAAACCCGTGGAAGGGAACGTATGAAGGGAAGGAAGGATAAGTCACGAGATGCTGTGACCACCATGGAAACACGGCTTGCCAAGGTGGAGCTTGCCGTGGGCGACTCAGGGGAGCGTCTTGGTGTGTTGGAGCAAAGCCTTGAACATGAAGTAGAGGGTCTCAAGGGGGAGATCAAGGAACTCCACGATGGCATGCTTTCCACCATCAATTCCATGGCATATGATGCACAAGTGGCCAATGATTCCTTCCAAGCCAAAGTATTGGAGATGCTCTCACAGTTTGAAGCCCGCTTGGAGGAGGTGAACCAAGACGTGTCAATGTGCAAAAAGGCCATAGCCGGGGGAGCTGTGACCTTGTCGGGGACATCTAAGGTAGAGGTTCCAAAGCCAAAGCCTTTTGACAGAAAGAGGGATGCCAAGGAGGTAAACAACTACTTGTGGCACATGGAGAGGTATTTCGAAGCGATGGCGGTAATTGAAGAAGATGCCAAAGTACGAACTGCAGTCCTTTACCTCATCGACACAGCAACATTATGGTGGCGTAGGAGGCATGCTGACATTGAGAAATGTATGTGCACCATAGCCACTTGGGATGGTTTTAAGAAAGAACTTAAGAAACAATTCTATCCTGAGGATGTGGCCTATCAAGCTAGAAAGAGCTTGAAGAAACTGAAGCACACATCGTCTATTCGGGACTATGTAAAAGAATTCTCTACTCTCATGCTTGAGGTCCTGAGTATGACTGATGAAGAATTGCTCTTCAATTTCTTGGACAACCTATAATCATAGGCGGAGCAAGAATTGCGTCGACGTGGAGTGAAAGATCTTGCCTCGGCCATGGCAGTGGCAGAATCACTTATTGAGTACAAACGTGGGGATGGCAAGGCCAAGACATCCAAGGGTGACCCTAGAAGAAATTCTAGTGAAAGTGAGAAGGATGAGGATGAGGGCATCCGGCGCAAGGAAAGACAGGGCAAACCTCTCACTGGCAAAGAAGGCAAAGACAAAGTCAGAGAGAACAGGGAGGCATTCAAACCTAAGACCAAGTGTTTTGTAACAACCCCGATCCATAATTAATTACTAACCCGTAATTTAGAATGTTAACAAGTGTTTAAAAGGGAATTATGTGCTAATTGTGTACTTTATGTGCTATTTGGCTTTCTATCTGTTATTTATAGAATTACCTGTTATGATTTCTACTCTAAACCCAAGATTGATAGCCTAAATACTTTCAGAAACTGAATTTGAGTACATGGAGTGACTAATTGGAATATTTGAAAACATATGAGAAATTTTGATAAGTAAAAAAAAAATTGGTTCAGTTCAGTAAAATCACATGTGATTGAATTAAGCCTTAATTAGAACGGCTTGGGGTTAATTGAGTCAGGTGGTAACCATGTTTAGTTAAGGTTACTTGTGTTTAATAAGATGATGTATGATTTATGCCTAATCTACTCCTATTCATGATTCAAGATGTGATTAAGTGAACGATGTGTCAAGGCATGTGATCGTGTTGAGTGTAGAGGATTAATTCTTGTGGATGTGTTGGAGTAGTGCATGTGTGTGCACATGTTATTCATTCGAATATGGGAGTGTGTGAGCGTTGTGTATATCTGCTGAAACGTGAAGGAATGTAGGCAACATTCTTCTTGTACTTTCTACTTCTTTGAGCAGAGAGTTCACCTTAGACAGAGAGAGAGAGAGAGAGAGAGAGTTAGCTCACTCTAGAGAGAGAAAGCTCTACATTTGTGTGGTTTAAAGGGGAAGAAGAGAGCTAAGGGAAGTCCATCTCTTATTGTTTGAAATCAAAGCTCTAGGTAAGAGTCTTGAGCATATTTTCTGTAGCTAACTCCCATGCATCATGATTTCAACTCATCTTGGAACCAATTCATGAAATTAGTAAGAGAAGTGGGTCTTTGGGCATGTAAATGATTTGCATATGTATTCATGGTAGAACACCTCTGATTTTACTATCTTAAGTTTGGGTTTTGAAGTCCTTGCATGCATGTAAGTTTTGGGCATGTTCATAGTTTTAGAATTCATGAGGTTGTTGATCATCTTTTGCATGTTTTGAGAAAATCAAGAACATAGTTTGAAGGTCTTCCATGCAAGAGTTTTTGAGTTCAAATTGGTAAATTCATGAGCTTTGAGCAAAAGAATTTGTAAACAACCAAGTGTTCATGTTTTAGAAAGGTTTTCGACCATTAAAAACAAGCCATGCATGAGTATAGCCATGGAAATCACATTTTTAAGCTCAAGCTCTGTTTTGAAAAACTCAGAATTTTACAGTCCGCTCGAGCGAGGAAACCTGCGCTCGAGCGGAGAATGCGAGCTCTCAGTATTTTTTTTCAGACATGAGCTCTCCGCTCGAGCGACCACTTGGACGCTCGAGTGACCACTTGGACGCTCGAGCGAACCCCTTGCTTGTTGTCGATCCACTCGAGCGTGGGAGTTGTAGCTCGAGCGTGGATTACAACCAACCAGTACTTTTTTCCAAGATTGCAGGTCGCTTGAGCAAAGGAAGTCACGCTCGAGCGACCCCTCTCATTTTGCATGTCCGCTTGAGCGAGGAAAGCTACGCTCGAACGGGGACCTCATTTTCAAAAATTTTGCCTAAGTATCCCAATGCATGTTTTGGC